AGTATACCTACAAGATACTATTAATAGTACCTTGTCAGTGATAAATATCACGTTAATCATATCATTAATCATATCTTGTTTAGACGGTGGTAACCTTATATACTTAAGTATATTGTATATACTGTTAGCCCTTAGTATAAGGTCGAGTCATTATAGTGACCGAGCAATTCCTGTTCGTGCAAGTTTCTTTGAGTTTTTTGGTAATTATAAATTAATATATTACATTTTATTATTTTCCAAAATGAAGTTTTGATATTTATTTTAGAAAGTTGAAACTATGTTGATAAATTTTTAAAGATTTATTGAATCATTTTGAACATGTGAAAAAAATGGACGGATTCTAGTGATCCATGTTTGAATAGATGAAGCATCACATTGTACCTTGTATTGTAAGAGTTAATGACAATTGCTATCTATCATTTGAATGATTTACAAACTCACACTACAGACGTGCTTGTTTAAATTATTTAATATCATTTTCTTTTAAAATTATGGCGTCCCTGGGCACTTTGGCGCCCTGGGACTTCAGCCCCAAAAGTCCGTAGATAAACGCGCTACCGGATACACATAGAGATCAATGTAAATAGTTATTATATTATTAATCGCTTGGAATATCACTTCGAATATAATATGTATAATTTAATACATAAATTTAATACATAAATTTATTAGTATTTATAACATTATAGCTTAATGCTATAACGCTAATTAAGAAAAAATGATAAGATTAACTTCAATAATTCATGCTTCAAAATGATTTTTGCTTTTCTCAAAAAATTGGACTTAAAGAGAACATAAAGAATGAGATGACTAAAATGAGTTATTCTTTACATCCGGAATGATAAGTAAAAGCAATATGTCTTTCTTGTATTTTTTTTAATTGCTTAATTTGATTTCAATTTTCGAAAAATTTTAATTTGTTGGAAAAATACTAAAATCAGCATACAAAACATCTCTAGTAATTCATCTTTAATAATACATACATTCTGCTTAATAAAAGAAAAATATTAGTATATAAAAATAAAGCATTTCAATGGAAATTATTTTATGGCATGAGAGCGTGTTGTTCATTCTTTATAGAGTATATATATATGAATGGAAAGAAAATCTTAAAATTAAACATAATAAATATAATAAACAACGCTCTTGGCTATCATAGTAAAAATTTACAATAATTCTCATTTTGATAAGGTCTCTGTTTTTAGATGTTAATAATTTGTTTACTTTCATGTCAGAATATGAATTATTAAAAATAAAGGCATTATCATTTTACTTGCAAGTAAACGAAAATGAACATGTCGGAAGCTTAACAATAATAATTTATAATACTAAATGTAATAACTCCAATTTAATAACTCCATTTATGTCTGTTTTAATATATTTTCCTAATAAATTTTTTAAAGTTCAGAATCGAATTCTACAGTCCAAAGAAACATACCGCTTTTATTGTACTTACCATTCCGGAAGTAAAAAATTGGAAAAAATCATTTTAATTATCATCTTTTAGATTCATTCTTCGATATCATTGCGAAAAATTATCACACCAATTTTTTTACAAATCTATTTTAAAATTTAGAGAACTCACTTAAAAATTTCATTAATTTTTAACCAATAATATTTCATCATAATCTATAAAGTAAAATATTGAAAAAGGTACCAATTTTTAATTTTATACAATTTACAAACAAAATATCATAGAAAAAAATTAAAAAACAGATAACCTTTGCTCTTTTTTTAAATGCATTTTTTAAAACTTCTCTGCGATTCTTTTTCATCAAGATACTTAACTTTTCAGATGCGAGAAAATTGCAAGCTCTCAAATTTATGAACGGTAGTGTATACATTTTATACATAAACACACATATATGTATATATAATGTGTGTGTGTGTGTGTGTGTGTGTGTGTGTATACGCAATGTAAACGTGTATGTCAAAAATATAACTGAATGCTTAATATATCAGCAATAGTCTTTCAACTACACGAAATATGCGTATCGCGTACATTTTTCACAAACAGTCATTGATTTGTTCGTGAGGGGGACAGAAAAAAAGTTTGGAACTAGAGAAACGCGCTTTTATATCGGAATAGTGTAAATTTCCAACTACCGCAACCTCACTCTTTTCATTCTCGCGGGAAATAGAGGGATTGACGGACAAAGTGCGGTATGCATGTTTGCCGCAGCTCAATGCGAGTTGAAAACAATTGATAACTGTAATGAGATTGGCTACCATCCCGACCGCTTCGCATCAACTGCGCACAAATGCCGCGGCCGATGCGTTTCTAGGTGGAGGCTGGTTCTCTACGTAGAACGTCACCACCGATGAAACACTATTAGCCTGATTAGGAGTATCAAGGTGAAAACATTTACTGGCGCGCGTGATGATCAAACAAGCTCCCTCATTAATGACGTGTTATAGCCGCAACGTGAGTCGTTAAATACGAACGGAATATCCAAAATTCGAGAAATTGAATCTCATGCTACAATTTGATGTGCCAATAAAAGAATGGCGTTGATAAATATTTATAAAACTGATCATTGTAAATACGATTTCTAGTGTGCCGCGTAACCGAACGTTCACTGTGACAACTAAACCCTTCGTCTCATATGATGTATATCATATTATTTTATTAATTCATCATTTTAATCGCGCAATGACATAGCAATAAATATATGTATTTCTAACTTTTTGATGTTTTCATGTCATCGATTGAAATGCTAAATCAATAAAATAATATGATGTACATCATATATTATTTTATTAATTCACCATTTTAATCAATGACAATAAATATGTATTTTAAACTTCTTGATGTTTTCAAATTGTTCGATTTATTTTCTCATTTGTGTTCATTTTTATGCAATATTTTTACACAATACCCACCAAAAAATATTTTTAAAGTATCAAAATAATTATAATAATTACATAGATCGCTGAAATTGATTATTAAAATGACAAAATTTTTTACTGCTTTGCTTATATAAATTTCTAATTTTTTTGATAGTTCAATAAAATTATTTTCAGATCTGTATTTATCTAAATTTTTAGATACTGCAGCAAAATCGTTTTGTGCAATGTGTTGAATACAATGTGATAAAACATATAATATATGACACTGAAGGATTAATTTTCCAAATGAACTCTGTTATATTTTTCATTACGTAAATATTGATAGAGGATTAGATTATCATACTATATATATACGTATATAATAACACACATATCAATTAAATTATTATATAATAAATTATATACGCATAATAATTATTTATTATACATTAATTATTATACAAAGTTACATATTTGATATATTTGTTTCTCATAAATAAAAAATCAATTGATATTATAATAAAATAAATATGAATTGCACATTCTCTGTCTTAATTAGTATCTGTGCTCCGCTAGAAAGAGAAAGCAATGTTGAATTCGCATAAGTATTTCTCTTCGATTCGTTTTGAGTGGGAAAAATAATAGAACAGACGATAGAAACGGAGCTTTAATCTTATTTGTCATTATCCTCACTAATACTTTGGAAATGGATTAAGTATTGATTTCTTATTTGGAAGATGGTAATGATTTTTAAGTATCTTCAATATTTTTGGTAAGATACATAAAACTAGAATGCCAAATTCAAGATATTTATTTTGCATCTCGATTCATTTAGATCGAACAAATTTGTTTGCAGGAACGACTGGCCAAAGTAGAACGCTGGAAATTGAAGATGCGATAAAAAGGACTTGCTCCTCTTATCGTACCGAGGACGATAATCAAATTCTCAAAAAGTGCTATCTTCTTATCGAGATTCCGAAAAAAATACTACAGATTTTCAGAAGTTAAAAAAAAAAAGCTAAGAAAAGAATGACATATGGAACACAGAGCGAGGAGAATGTATGTTGTAACAATGTCAAATAATGCAAACCGACAATTTCGATGGATATAACTCGCATTACGGAAATCGATACTCTAACCAGGGGGGGAGGGGGAATCTTACTCGTGTGTGTACATGTGTATGTGTGTGCAATGTTTGCTCGTGCTATAAAAAATTCGAAACTTCGATCCATTGGACGTAATGAAATTTTCCTTAACGCGACGTTGCTTTCGTAACGAATTGTCTCTCCTAGAGATGGAAATAACTCGCTTGTTTAATGCAACTGTCGTCAGGTCGTTGTCCTCGTGAGATCGGAGACGAAGAATAAAGGAAACGAAGAGAAGGAGCAAAGTTTTCTGCAAGATGGGAACGAAGGAAAACAAGATTTCTCTTCCGGATGCCTACGTGACGAGGGTTAAAAAAAACATCGTACAAGACATTACAGAAAAAATATGCAACGGGGTCGAACTTCCTCTTCGGACATTCGACAGTTCTCTGCGTATCTCAAACGCCCGCCCGAGAAAAAAGCTCAATGAGAAACGAAAGATGAAGCGTGCTTACAGCACGATCGAGAAGAAAAAAAATGTTCTTGATAAAAAGCAGTCAGTTTAATTTCTTTAATCTGGTTTTTTCTCATTTGGACGACTGCGACTTTCTGCGAATAAATACGAATGTAGTTACAAATTGTCGACTTGTGTCTCTTTTATCTTTATATCTTTTGCGAGTTCCAAAGTTAAACGTTGCAGCAAAATAGTGACGACGTTATATTATGTAAAATGCATATTATCTTTGCGTTGCTGGAGTTACAATTATTTCTCAATATTCATTAAACATTAGTTAAATATTAATTAAATGCATATTCGTATAAAATTAATAATGATGGAATTAACAAGGGAGATCCCTTTTCCTCTCGGTGGTCAATTTAATGCGCCGCGCAAGTTTACACACACACACACACACACACACACACACACACACACACACACATACACATACAGAGTACACATTTATCGATCAAAGGCACTCCAGAGAGATTTTCCTCTCTGATTGAGATCCGAATCGAATGGTTACACGAAACAGAACAAAGGACTGAAGCGCACGTTTGTGAGACTATTGATCGTCAGTTTCTTACCTGGCGATTCCGGTGTTCCTCCCACACCTGTCGTTTCCGGAATTCAACCTCGTCCATGCTCCGGAAGCGTATCGGGTCCGCAATAGAAGAAATTGATGTTCTTTCCGCAATTCCGCCAACTGCGCGTAACGTGTTAAAGCTTCCATCAGGCGTGATTCTCCGTGCGATCACTCTCGAAATAATAATTCGCGTATCTTCTCAGTGCAGTTTGCAGGACACTTCATTTTGCGAATTCGCCGTTCGAGGGCATTTTTAACGTGACACCACTTACTCTTCTATATATTTTTCTTTTTCTTCACTAACTAATCGCCGCTTTACGAGGAAAATATAAAGCGTTACTTCCCACTGCAGAAACAGCACGAATAGAATGTTTATTTGACAACAATCCTGTCCGTTATTTTATTGAAACATTTTTAAATAACATTTGTTCATAATTTCCTTTTTCATCAAATGCACGCTTGTCCATTTCTGAAAATAAAAGTATTCATTGCACATCTTCGAGATCATTCCTTTTTTCCCGAGGAACGTTAATTCCTAGAATTCATGTATCAAGTAATATTTGTATATATAAAACGATCGTGAGAGAGATGAAAGATTTTTTGTAACTTTTAAATTCTTCATTATCATATTCTAATGCATCACCAATTTAATGTATAATTGTAGACGGTACTATGATGCAATGTTGGAGCTTGTAAAAGTATTAAAACTATTATATTTTGATTCTTTAGAATTTATTCTTATTGCATCAAATTTTCAATATAGTTATACGTAATTATCAATCATAGCTTATATCAAGGGATATATTATTGTTAATAATATACACCTTTTTTATTTTTCACATTGCGTTATGATACAATAAAAGAAGATTTATTGAAATATATTAGTGTTACACATTCCTCGATATTTTCTATATTTTCTATAACGAAAAATACAGTTAACTTTAGAGTGTAATTGTGTTGTTAATAAATTATATGAAATTTTTAATCTAATACGAATTTAAAGTTTACATTTTATACTGTATATTAAAAAAAATAATTAAAAAATATTAATTTATCGCGAAGATATAAAACGAGGCAGTTCGTTCACGGTTGACATAAAATCTTCACTTGTAGGCATCCGAAACAAATGATTTTAGTGTCATTTTAATTAGTGTTGAGACACTAATTAGAGATTACAGTCGTGTCTCTAGAATCTTAAATAATGTCGCTATCGTTTGATCGAATGATGGTCATCTGAAGTTAAAGGTTTTTCACTAAAATCTTAAAAAAAACTTTTTAAACTTTTAACTTTAAATTGCCACTATTTTGTTAAAAATTATTATTTTTTACAAAAGCTATGATCAAACGATCATCATTTAAGATTAAAATAACATCATTTGTTTCAGATGCCTACAAATAGAAATTTTGTGTCAACTGTAAAAGACGCATTAGTTTTCTTAAATGTTTTATATTTTCGCGATAAATTAATATTTTTTTAATATGTAGTATATAAAATATAAATTTTAAATTCATATTAGATTAAATATTTCATACACATTTACAACACAATTGCACCCTAAAGTCAATTCTACTTTTCAACCCTCGTGTCTACCCTTAATCCATACAATTTCTCAAACTTTTTCAACATTTTATTCTTTTAACTTAACAACTTCACTTTCTACAGGGAAATCCGACCTTTCGCGTTTTTATCTATGATGAAATCAAGAATCACACATGGGCGTAGGTCTTCTCTTTATCGCGAAAGATAAAAAGGTGGTCTTTATTGGTCCATTGAGACACGTTGGTTGTTTTAACAAGATATCGCGAGAGACTTAGACGGCACAGATTTAACTTTGTTCTCACACAAATCCTAAATCCATTTTTTCTTCCTCATTTCATCGTCTACAAACCCTAAATTCATTTTTTCTCCCTCATCTCATCATCCTTGTTGCATAACTTTCCTTGACCGGCTTAACTGAATCGTTCCGCGATATATTTAATTGCGAATAGCCGAGTTGTAATTAATTCCGTATTAGAAGCGAATCTGTTGGAATATATAATTATTTAGTAGGGCGCGTACGCTCATATGCAATTACAATTTTATTTTAATTAACAATTCTAAAGGTGATTTTCGTAAAATTGTTCAGAAAATTTCATTATTATTCAAAAATGTTATTATTTTATATAACATTATATATATATATATATATATATATATAAAATGTTAATATTTTTATTTAATTAAAAAATACTTACGAAGTGCTTTAAGTACTTGATAGACTAGAATTCCTTCGGCATCATATATGTATTTTTTCATAAAAAAGTTATTCATATAAGATTATTAATCATATTCAAATCTTGTTCGTGCGCAATAAATTACACTCTAAATCTGTAGCAATAAAATTTCACTGGATTAAATTGAAATTTCAATACAGACATTAGTGAAAATTGCGCTAATGTTATTGCCAGTGAATATTACTGCAAGATGGGAATGGAAATCCATTTAATGATTAAAGTAAAAAATTTACTCTAAAAAGGAGTGAATTTGGAAATTAGAATAATGACAGAATAATGTCATTCCAAATTTAGATAACAAAGCCTACGGAGACAGATTTTGAACAGAGCATGCTATCAATTTATTAACCTATTAATTATTGTTAATAATTATTATTTTATTTTTAATTATTTTATTCTGTCTCTTATGTGTTTATGTTATATGTGTCTCAAGATGTATCTCGCTCGTAATAATCAAACGATAAACATATGACAAATAGTACGCTATGTCGCTAAATTCCCTCTTTGCAATAACATTCAATGCATTATCAACTTAATGCTTAAACCACTTCGATTAATCGAATGAAATAGTTCACTCTTTTATGTAAGAGTAGACAGATTAACTTCAAAGCAGTGAAAATCCTTATTTAAAACACTTTGTTACTTACTTTTGTTAACAGTAAAATTTTCATTGCTACCGGTTTAGAGTGTAATTTAAATGAAATTAAGTTAAATTAGAGTAAATATTTGTATGATACAATGGATCTTCTGCATGTGAAACGAATTTCATAAATTTAGAATTAGTAGTAAATGCAATAATGTCGTTGGGAAAGATCGTGAACGTCTTAACATTTTCCGTCCTGCCATTTTGTAATTTATCCCGATAGCCATCGTTTCATCAAGGTGGCTACTGCTTTCCGATAACGAAATATCGACCTACAACGAGTAAAGGTCTCGAGTGACTCCGCACCCTAAGAAAAATTACCTGTCCTGCATTACAGGGCCATTTTTTTATATCTTAAAAAAGAGAAAAATGAAAAAAAAAACATACGACCTTTCGTCGTAAATCCCTTCGATCCCATTTTACCCGAGATACGTATAATGTCTTGTAAAAAAAATGTTTTTATTTCTTTTACGACTATTTATAAAATTTGTATACCCTCAATCTGACGATCCTTCTTTCAACAAGCTTTCTCGGGAAGCGAGAGTTCGAAGAAAGAACCTTCGGAACAAAGCGACGCGAATAGAATTCCATGATACTGCTGTACAATCCTCGCATGTGATCGACATTTCGCGTTGCGAGGAAAAATTACGCGATGCAATAATGACAAACTTTCTCGCAACGCTTCCGCTTTCTCATCTCACTTCGAAAAATGTGAAACAATTTTTATTTTCGTATCGAATGGATGAAATTGCCACAAAACAGTCCGGATCAATCGTTGAGATGGTTTCCGCAGGAAAGGACGCACTTCGAATTCGGGAGTAATGAAATTTATCACTGTTACGTGACCGGAAGCGACAATCCGCCGGAATACACTCCTTTCAAAACGGTTTCGTGAATTTCGCGAAATTTTCAATTTATCATTTAATTATACGCGTCATACCATTGTTGTGTGTATAAGATGAAAAAGCGATCAGCAATATGTACAGTTTGAAATTCACTTTGATCAAGTACCTTGTATTTGTTGGCATAAATTAAACGTTTAAAATGAAAGCTAATTAATTTGATTTGGACACCTTTATCCATTGAATCAAACGGATACTTAAGAATAAATTACCGATGCGATTAACGCGACGACTCTCCAAAGACCTTCGAGAATTTATGATCCAAAAAGTAACGGACGCACGTTAGAAAAAAAATTTAATGCACCTGGGATTATCCTGATAAACGTCACGTGTTATTATTTCAAGTCGATAAAAATAAAATGATAAACGCTTCACAAACTTTACATTCAAGTGCGAAGAATGTACTATTGGTAGGATCTCTCGTTCATTATTTCGTGACATGAGTAAATATAAAATTGTATTTCGTAAATATTATGTAAGTTTTATTTCTTCTAATTTATTATATATATAATTATAATAATCTAATAATTTTTTTTTATTAATTAAATGACAAAAATTGTGTTTAAAAAATTACATTTTTATTAAATAAAAAAAACGTAATGCTTTTACTTTTTTTACTAATTGATCCACTGTTACACATCTAATCCAGTATTAAGTACATTGTTATATTTCGTGGACTTAGATCTTTATTTAATCGCTAAATAAGCGGACAAGATGAGAAGCGAAATTAATATTTGTACGTGTATATGGGTCACACACGAGAGAAATAATATTAGCGAAATTATAACGATGGCCGTGCAATAATTATGCGCCTTTCGGAGCTCGTAATGTCTTTAACCTCGCTCCTTATATGGATGAGTGCGCAGTTGGCTGAAGTAACTTCAAGACTTTGTAGCTTCCATTCTCAAAAGAGAAAAGAGATGTGAAAAAGAGAAAACTGAGAAAAAGTAGAAAATAGAAGCTACCTCTTACAGCACGATGTGTCAAATTGCGACGTAATGTGTCGCGATGACGATCATGCTTTGATTTACAACAGATATTTTTAATTTTTTTGCGAAAAACTGACGTCGATCTAAATCATAATGGGAAATTATTTTTCAAAATTGTCTTTTATAATTTTGCATACATGTTAAAATTAAATACTTGCTTTTAATTTCACGCGTATTCTGCATCTCAATTATAAATATTAAATCATTGTTATTTTAGTCTCTGCATGATTCGACAAACATAATTAAACATACAAATGGAAAACATTGAAACTTAATCATGCACCCTCAGCTGCGCGCTACGTGGGTGAGGTCACGTGATTAAGTTTCAATTTTTTATTTCTACATGTTCCAAATATAAATTGTACAAATGACAAATTCTGCATGAGATAATTAGTTTGTGTAAAAGGTGGAAAGGACATAAATCAGACACCGACGCAAAATTTGCACTAGTGGGTCAACTTAATGGAGAAATTACGGTAGTAATTTGGAAATTGCGATACTAATGGTATCGTTCGAGCAACGATTAACAACTAGCAGAGATATATCGACTGGAAGAAGCTGCAACTACTAATCACGATGGATTTATATCGTTAGATTGCTCGCATTGTACATCTCGCAAATTTAATACTCAACTAATTTCATGATCAGTACTTAATGGTACATTTACTGAGCATCATAACATTCGAAAATTTTATTTCTATATAGAAATTCAAAACAATAATAGCAGTAGTAAATGTCAGGCAATAAATGTACATCCAAGAGAAACGCGAATCGACAAGAAGGAGCTTGATATCGAGATACCTCGTGAAATTTGCCTTTGGAATGTTCCGTGAAAAATATTTTGCGCATTTGCATCTGTAGTATGCGCTTTATCGAAATTCGATGGTTCGAGGACGTTTGAGTGCCAGGGAAAACAGATAAACTAGCCAGACAGATGCGGAAGCGGAGGTCAATGTCCTCGAAAAGGCGCGTATCGCAGGGTCGTATCGGAGATCCGCAGCTTGCAACCCGGCAAAGGGAACTCCGACATATAAAAACTTAAACAGAGACTCAGTAATAATGACCACGTGCGATCGTCTCGAAGTTTTATCGTCAAAAACGGAACGTCCCGTCGCCGTATGCTGGACAGAGAATTTCAGGAGTCGGATTCAGAAATCATGAATTTATTTTGATGTGATGTAGGCACGCGCTTCGTTTCGTTCGTGAGAGATGTTACACATAAAAATTCCCGGAATTTTAAAGAGAAAAAGTAAATTCCTCTTTGAAAATTCTTAAATACAATCCATGCAATTTCGCCTGCTTCGCGTATTTTCTCACCAATATCAAGGTTGAAGGGTGCTCGAATAGAGAATGCGCGAATAAAAGGAAGCACTAAATTCACAAATGTAAGCGAGTATCCTCGCGAAAGCACATACGCACTCGCTTTGACCCTCAGTAAGCAACTCGTATCTCTTCACCTTACGGTGTACGTTACTCGCAACGGAACCGCTTTGGGTCCACCGGGGAAGCTGATCGGCGTCGTCCCGGAGTCAATAATTGCGATGCACGCTGCGGCATCGCTGAAGAAGCGTCTTCGGGAGGTTGTCGACCCGGCTAACAATCATGGAGCGGCTCGTCACCTTTCCTCGCGGGTTTTGTCGCGCCAGGATTGCAGCGGGACAAAGGAAGTGTCAACGTGCCGGCGAAGCACGTACGCACGCATGCACAGATGCACACTCGCACTGTACGCACTTTCTCTGTAAATTTTTCTCGGAAATCCACCTTCCGTCATCCGTACACGCGAGTTTAAAACGCCTCGCGGAGACGCTCGTGCGGTCGATCGGCACTATTTACGCCGAGGATGCGACATCTCTTGAGGGGGGCCAGTCAGAAAAGGGGTGGATTGACGAACGTAAGTTAACCGCATGGGATGGTCTTTTGGGGTGCCGGTCCCGACGTTGACTGCGCCGTCGACTATCGATTTTTCCGCGCAGCCTCCGCGACCGGAACACGCCGGTGCACGTCTCTGCTCTAGCTAGTCCTGTCGCTGGCTTGCCTGTCCTGCGACACTGTCGGGTCGATCTTTGTTTTGCCTCCTTTACCACACAGCTTCTATTGAATCGACGTCTTGCGAAAAGATTTCTTCGCGACATCTTCGATCGAGACAAGATAATTATGATAATGAAGCTACGAACTGAGAGGCAGAGACTGCGGTTGATTTAATTGCGGTTGCTTGGAAAGATGTTTTTCACTGTAGTTATAGGAGTAAATATTTCATACTTTCCTTGAAAAGGAAAAAGGAAAAGCCAAAACTAATGTCAATTATTTTTATGCAATTATTTTTATGCGTTTAAGCAATAATGAGAAGCAGTAAAAGATCGTGAGAATATATAATTTTAGATTGGATCCCGGGGATGTAAATTTATACCGTTCGTTGGTGGCTTTAGTCGCATTCAATTTCATCGGTCTTTTATCCTGCAAGAGTCTGGCTTTTGACTCTTATATCTCGGTTCTTTTGCGTCTGATGATACAGGTCCTTCTTCCAGTCTCCTTGCTCTAGAGAAGTGATTAATAATTACGATAAGATATGCGAGATATTTCATTGAACGATCTCCATGTTTATTGAATTTTTCATAATAATTTTTTTCCAACAGCTTTATCTCAAGGCGTAACGCGTGTTTCATCTCAAGAAATTAAAATTATTCATATTAATTAGTAATATATAATATGGTTACGTATATCAAATTGTTCCTCTCAATTGCTACGTCGCTTATATTAACTTTATGTCGATTCTTCGCTTGCATGTTAGTGCTTAACAATACATTAGTATTATTAATTATTCACGGCGACACGAGCACACATTACTTTATTCAATTAACTCATTAATTAATTGAATATAATTACATTTATACAAATATGTAATACTAATTTATTCCTCAGATCTTCCATGTAAGACATAAGTAACGCGATTAACCGCGATTAACTGGCGTGTCGCTTGTAATAAATTTATATCTTAAAGTCACGATATACTTTAATGAACCGTAATTTACACAACATGTAATAATTATATATTACTAGTAAAATGTTTGCATTTTTTTATAAATTCTTCCTTATTAGAATGAATTTGGTAATGAGCTTATCGCGGAAGAGAAGCGTTAGCGTGACGTATTCGATATCGACTAGTATTATTCTCAGCACGCTGAAAGTTCTAACAATATTATGAGAAAGACAGAAAGGGAGGAGAGAGAGAGAGAGAGAGAGAGAGAGAGAGAGAGAGAGAGAGAGAACGACAATTTTATTAAACGAAGCAATACATCATGCCGAGGAAACTTTCAGAGATATTTCATTACAATAGTACGTTACATTTTTTTATCGAATTAAGATGCGCATAGCGAAAAACTCGCGCAGAGTCTAAAAGGTTACTGCAGATTGAACTCGCTCGTTGGAAAGCGACGCGATCGATCATTTCAATCCGGTTGCACGAGATGGAAGGCCGAGATTAAATATCCATTGTGTGGCCGCTATGTGTCTGGATAACATCCGCCGTGCCATTGGACAGTTTCGGGTAGTTTCGAACGATTCTAATTACAAACATAGTCGGCCGCAAGAGAAGGCAATAAAGCCTCGAGGGTGGATCAAAACTTCGCCGATTATCGAATCTGCTTGCTCGACGTATCAAGCAGGAAAAGTCAGACATCATCATGTTACCGGAGGCACCATGTGTTAGTTTTAATTATGACTCGCGGTGGTAGAAGGTAAGTGGCGTGGAAGATGCAGCAATATTACATGTTCTAATGATACCATTCATCTTCCAATTAATTGCGTTTATTTTCAACAGAGTTTAACATGTTTATTTAATCACCTGTCTGCTCATTATTAATCATTTTTAATTCCTGCAAAATTCAATATATCCGTTTACATATTCGTTTCTATAAAGTCTTTTAAAAGACGCAAAATTGTTTCGTAATCAATATTTTTATCGTCACTATTGTTATTAATCGTAAATGATCTGTTTATATTATCTATATTATACATATAAAGACAAAAAGGTCTGTTTTATTTCAGGATTAGATTTTAAAATTATTTTTACCCTATTTACGCTATTATCATTCATGTGTTACAACAAAGTTATAATTTTCAATCAAATTAGAATTTGCGTAGAAAAAGAGAAAAGAAGCGAAAAAGAAAAGAAAGAAAAATAGAACTAAAATCAAATTGACCATGGGTAATAATAACAAAAAAAACGAGTGAATAAAGCCACAAACAAACGCGCAGTATTTTCTTACTCCCGGTCGTGGCTGATCATGAACGGATGAGTCTACTTACGGCCAGTAGTGGCACTCGATCTGTGGTCGAACAATAAAGGGAAGTTAGCTTACGCTAGCGTTTTATCTGTTGGAGATAAGTGATCTTTGAAATTGCGATAAAAAAGATGTCGGACAGGTGTATCGAATGCCCACATGACGTAAAGTGTACGCAGACAGAATATATATATGTATATATATATATATATGTGTATGTATAATACACGTCGACCTCACGCATGGGATGACAATAAGAATGACAAAGGATCTCATTAACGTCGCAGGGAAATATCTCGGGCGCGGTGAAATTTGATCTCGATATGGATATACATCACAGTCACATCCAGAGACGTTTCGATACGGAATGTAGGACAGCATGATAAATTCGCTGAATTACAACTAAACGCATAACAATAATACGCAACATATCTTATATGTTACGTATTATTGTGCGTTCAGTTGTAATTCAGCGAATTTATTAATTCTTGCGTAGTACGTTTTCAGCATTTTTATTAAATAATAACACGCATAGATCATTCGGATCAATTTTGACAATATCAAAATGATCAAGGCATTTTAACAAAATTTATGCACATTGGACATAGAGAAGTGCTCCCCTCTCCAATTTTGATGAGCTTTTAATATAGTGTAGTCTAGATCAAAATAAATGACATATATTTCTTTATACTTGTCCATGCGTGCTTTTAAAAAGTAAAAAACCCCTTAAAAAAGTCGATTCTTTTTCAAAGCAAATATACTGTTATACAAAAATCGTAACTATAAAAAATAGAAATAAATTTTTTTATATTAAAGTTAAATGGATTAAAAGTACTTTATATAATAATTTAAATAAATATATTTTAATTTTTTTGTTTTTTATAAATAAAAAATTTTTTATTAAACAATTGGTATAAAGTACTCTTGAAATCATTCTTTTACGAGAAATGAACAATTTTCTTCTATTATTTATATATAGTTTATATGTAGTTTCGACGATATTTGTTTAAAAGAAACTAATAAATTAAGTGTTTTACCTCTCTAAATAAATAAAAGACGTATAACAAAAATACGTAGCCCTTATTATTTTTATCTAGAGGCTACAATATATTATATTATAAACTTATCAAAATCGAAAGATACTTCCTTGTGTTGCATTGTTAGTTCAAAATGTTCAAAAAATTATATTTCTGAAAAAATATATAAAAAAAAGATTAAATATCTTATTTTAGCAATTATTTAGAAGAACGTGGTAAAGAGACGTTGATATTTTACAATTTCTCACATTTTAGTTATAAAATATTAATGCAGTAATAAGAGATGTGGTAATAACGTTATGTCATTAACAAAGATTGTTTTGAAGAAAACAGAGAGGAGCCTGTTCATTAATGAATATTCAAAAAAGGCAGTAAGCGACCCTTTTTTGAATCATCATTTTAAGACACGAATTATAGCGACATATACGATCGTTCACAAGGGAAGATTCAAGTGAGCGCGCTTCAAGTATCACATGTGGGAAGTCCTTCTGAATGAAACGATAAAAGAGACGTTTTCTGGGATATTTGGAGAATGGAGATAAATTCAGGAAGCTGTAAATCTCATGAAAATCTCTTGTCGAGGCAATGCGACCGAAAACGGTTGCAAGACGGTCATTAATGAAAGATACAAAAGAATCGGTAAAAAAATGTATACACATGAAAGTGCGTTTTTCTGCTGATTGTATCAAGAATAGAAAACGAGGACGACTTTCGCATTCGAATTCAGCACTGACCTTTTTATTTAAGATTACTTCTTTTCTTCTATTAACCATGTCCTACTTCTTTCCTTGCGTTAAAGTGTAATTTAATTAACAGACTTTCTGACGTAGAAAATGAAATAGTGACGACTTTTAAAGTAAAAAGTAAGATAAAAAATGAATAAGCATGAATGTATGATAAAGTATGTTAAAGTGCAGAGGAGTGTGCCAAAAATCGATGGAAATGATAGACTATATATCCTTTCGCGATTTCTGTCAGCATTCTGTCGTCCTTCGACAAAATTCGTGTGAACTAAACAGTGTGATGTAATTTTTCAATAAACGTGGAGTTACAGTAAATTGAGTTACAATAAATGGATTATTGCTAAACGGATTGTTGCTATTGTGAAATAGTTTTATTTGCATAACATAGTTTATTAGTGCTCGTAAACTCAAACGCATATTTTCCACATCTTATCGCAAATTTATAATATCGAAATGTGTATTTGCCTTTTATGTTTTACTGTTTATAATTTTTTAACTTATAAGATTTTCAAAGATTGCTCAAATTGTCATTAATTAATTTTAAATTATTTTATTAATATTTGTTAATTATTTTAAAAATTAATTTTTAATGTGATAATAATTGTACTATCCGAAATTTGATCTTTTTTTGTAACACGAAATCTGTTGGCCAAATTTGGCTATTACGTCATAATTTTGAGAAAGCATGGTATCAAACAGATAAAATCTGATAATTGAGGGTTCTTTGAGATGTAGCTTCGCCAGCAAATTTTTTCTAAATTTCGTTAATCCGCGAAAATATCAATTTTTAGCTTTAAAATGCATTTCATTTCGTTTTGATATGATTTTTTCGTTTTCGAAATGTAAAAATTTAATACAACTTTTTTTCCAT